CTCTTGGCATTCTCTTGAGCTGTGGACTCTTTTTAAAATTTTGTTTTGGAAGCATCTATGATTTACCTGGATGTATGTATTTTATTACATGGAAAATAGTATTTACAAATGCAATGATATTTCACCCCCCTCAGTTTTGCTATTACATGCATTTTTTCTGTGCAATTCCAAAAAGAATGCAATAATTGAGAAGTATAAAAAGAATTTAGGTACTTTTCATGTGACCACAGCACAATAAAAGTTTATCTCTAAGCTGTTCAGGTCAGTATGCCAGTGCAGCCTAATGGAGTTGACTTCCCCTTTTCCACTACAGGGAAAATTAGGTCATTATATTGTACCACAGAAGCCACACACCACACATACATATTTGCTAAATAAAACACATTGAAACGAATATTAAAAGCTGTCTAGGTAACCTCACTTGAGAGACTGGCCAGTTCACAGAAGAAGCATTGTAATGCTTTTAGAATGCACTTCACATCACTTGTTACTTCTCTGCTTAAAATCCTGGAGCAGCTGCCTATCTTCACACTTAGAGATAAAATCCTGACCTCTTAGTGTGGTTCACAAGGCCTTCTGTGAACAAGCCCCTGGCTGTTTCTCCCACCTTACCTCATGCCACTCCCTTCCTCACCCTCTTGTCCTACAACCACAGCATCTTCTCCTTATTGAGGTTAACCAAACTCACTGCCCTTGAGTTGGATCCGACTCATACCAACCTTTCCTTGGGTTTCCGAGGTGGTATCAGTACGGAAGTAGATTGCCCAACCTTACTAGGCACCAAATGGGCTCCTGCAGCAGGAGATTTACCCTGGTTCACCTCTCCCTTGGAATGCATGCTTCCTTACTACACTCAAGTCTGTGCTCAGTGTCTCCTCCCCAGAGAGACCTTCTCCCATTATGCATCTGAAACAGCAACCCACCTTTCTCTGCGTTATTGTCTGCTTTCTTATGTTCTTATGTCTCTTAGCAATGCCTGGTATTATATTCTGTGTTTATTTGTTAATGGACTGCCTTCTTTAGAAGGTAGCAATGCTGTCTCTTTGGTTTCTAAATGCCTTAAACTGTATCACTTTAGAAACATTCAAATATTTGAATACATTTGCTGAATGAATAAATGACTTACCGTACCTAACGCAGCTTCATGTTTCAATCACTTCCTGGCAGGATCAGTCATGATTTGATTAGAGACCAGAATATAGAAACCTAAGAAGAACCTTTTTTTTTTTCTTTTTTTTTTTAAACCTCTGGAAGGAAGGTTGGGCAATCTACTTCCATACTGGTACTGCCTTGGAAACCCAAGGGAGGGGTCGCTATGTGTCGGATCTGACTCCACAGCAATGAGAGGGTAGTAACTGTGGAATGCTTTCTTGTTTCTTTTCTACAGTTCGTAGTTGATAGTAATTGACTTCTTGTTAGTTTTAAGACATTTAAAACATGAAAGCACCTTTTCTGTCACAAAGGCACAGAGCCAGTTGAATTTTTTTTTTTAATTAGTAGACATTTTAGCACTTACTGTCTGGAAATAGATGAAGTGTGGGTTTTATAATATGTCATCAGCTGAGTCCTAACAACCACTTAATTTCTTTCTGAGACTTTTATAACTACAGACAAAGCAAGATTTATATTTTCATTGTTGAGAGAGTTTCCTTTTGTATGGACCTATTTATCTGTCTACTCTCAGTGGTAATGTGGCCCTATGGGAGGTCAGTGCTGGCCTGGAGCAGTGTGGAGCTACTTGACAAAGGTTTAGAATTCTTCTATCTAGTTCCTGATAGCTCATCTGACCCCTAGTTACTGCCTTAGAGGAAGTAATGATTTTGAGCCATCATGCCCTGGTGAATTTGCTACAGTTTGTCAGTTTTATGCTAGAGATAGATGACAGCCGTGTAGACTTTCTGGCAACATTAGTTGTATTGGCCATAATAATATTTTGCAAGTTCTGGGAATAGATTTGAAAGCACAGAATTCCACTTTAATGAACTACACTATTCATCCGATTATTCCTTCTTTAAAAAGTATAATAAACTCTATCATTTTAACTGTATCAAAGTTGGTTCTTTTATTTCTTAATTGTTCCTGTTTTTGTTGTTCCGGCACCTCAGGAATTTACAGAATTTTAAAGATGATTTAAAAAGTAATCATTTAAACCATATATTTATATTTCAAAAGTTGACAGATTTCTATTTTAAAGGTCAGATAGTAAGTATAGTTGGTTTTGTGGGCCATATTTTTTCTGTGGCAACTATTCAGCTCTGCCTTAATAATGTAGACAGTACCAAGTATCAAGTGAATGAGCATAGCTAGGTTCCAATAAAACTTTTTTTCCCCCAAAAGCAAACAGCAGACCAGATTTGGTAATTTGCCAAGTCCTATTATATATAACTATACCCCAGATTTTTCGGGGGAAAAGATAGTATATTTCTTAAGGGTAAAGGCTGTCATCCTGTAGAGAAAGAGGTAGATGCATCCCATAAATTCTAGTTAATTTATTTAAATAAACTACAAGGTATGTAGGAGCTCTGGTGGTGTAGTGCCTAAGGCATTGACTGCTAACCAGAAGCCTGGTGGTTCAAACCTACCAGCCACTCCTCAGAAGAAAGGTTGGGCAATCTTCTTCCTTAGAGATACTGCCTCGGAAACCCAAGGAGGGGCCACTAATAGTTGATCCAGTGGGAAGTTTGGAATTTTGAATGGAAGATATGTATTGTGTAGTCTAGTGCCTCCCTATAAAAATATCCACAGGATAAACACCACTTTAATTTTAGATACTTAAAAAAATATCTTGCCCTTCCTGATAAATTGGTTTGTTTTTATTAGATATGACTCACCACATTTCCCTTTCAGCCCTGACTCTGAGAACCAAGCACTAAGTTTTGTGCTCTGTTAAGGAGTCCCTGGGTGGCAGAAATAGTTAAGCACTCACCTACTAATTGAAAGGTTGACAGTTTGAACCCACCCAGAAATGCCGTGGAAAACCCACCCAGAAATGCCGTGGAAGACAGGCCTGGCAATCTGCTTCTGTAGGTCGCAGCCTTGAAACCCTATGGAGCAGTTCTGCTGTGACACCTGAGATCACCATGACTCAGAGTCAGCTTGACAGCAATTAACATCATGAAGTCAGTTTCAACTCATAGAGAACCTACATGACAGAGTAGAACTGACCCATAGAGTTTCCTAATCTGTAATCTCTATGGGAGCAAATCTACAGATCATTTCTTCCACAGAGTGGCTGGTGGGTTTGAACCACTGACTTTGCAGTTAGCATTCCAGTTCTTAACCATGGTACCAGTGGGGGTCCTTAACAACAACATGTTGTTGTTGTTGTTAATGTGCTGTTGGTAGCTGTTATTACTGTAGATTTTCCAGTACCATTCTCTCCCATGACTTCACTTTTGAAATATATAAATATAATGTGTGGATGCAAGTTATATGTAGCGGAAAGGTAAAAATTGAGTGTGGCTTCCTAATGGAGGAGTCTTTTTAGTCTCTTTTTGAATATGAGAGAGAGGTGTCAACTTGGATGAGAGGAAAAGAATAAAAGTAGTTTGGGATCAGAGTAGTTAATACAAGCAAAGGTATCAAGGTAGGGCTTTCTGGAATATTGGGCTATAAGTTGGATGACATTGAGAAGCAACAACAGCAAATGTCTTGGATCACAGTTTAACCAGTTGCATCAGTAGAAATGAGTTTGAATTCCCCAAATTCCTCAAAAGCATAAGTAAACAAGGGTTTCTCTTGATACTAGGGTCAGTAGGGTTGGAGCTATTTACAGGTTTTGTGTATTTGAACAGTTTAAACTTACTAGTATTACTTGCCAAAATAGTGATGACTGGATATATATATTTTTTAATATCAAAGTGAAATAAATTCATTGCTTTGTATTATTTCATGATATACCTTGAGATAAGTATGTCTTCAGAGTATAAGTAACTGTAAAAACCAAGGATGAGAATCACTATATGCTCATATTAATTATTATATTGTACTAATTATTTCACTAAATACTAATAAAGTAATTCACTAATTATTAATAGGGTAATTGTTACTATATCTGAAACTGTTTAAACAAAGAAAAAGATTGTTAGTCTTTTAAAGTACAGGCAGTCCCCAGATTACAAATAAGTTCCATTCCTAAATCTGTCTTTAAGTCAAATTTGTACATAAGTTGGACAGTTAAGTATGGTGTATATGTAACATCATCAGTGTGTCAAATGTTTGCCTTATAGTATATAATGTACCTTTGTAGGCATAGAAAACATTAAAGAATCACTTCCAGGTACACTAAAATGTCTTTAAAGTAATAATCGAGTAATAATGATAATGTTTTGAAGAACATCACAAATTATTGACCGTTTGTTATTATAACCCATGATATGTACGTCAAATTTTTAATATAGTAGGCTTTATAGGGTTGGTTTTGTAACTATGGGCTATATAAGTACAACGTTCGGTTTGGATGTTTGTAACCCAGAGACTGCCTCTATAGCTTCTAGAATAAGCAGGACTTCTAGTTTTTTTTTTTTTTTTTTCATATGCAGTTAAATAAAAAGTAGTTTTCATAAATAAGTATATGTTTATGTAATTTAATTTCTTATAAAGAACATTTTCCTAATTTTGATTTGCTCTTCTTTCAGTTGTTTTACAGGTTTGCAGCCTGGTCCTTTATCCCATCAAGTTCATTGAAACTGTGAGCTTGAAAATTTACCATGAGTTCAATTGGGGTTATGGCCTTGCCTGGGGTTCAACAATATTTTCGTTTGGGGGTGCCATCCTTTATTGCCTGAACCCTAAGAACTATGAAGACTACTACTAGAACCAATAGTCTCAAATGAAAAAAAAAAAACACCAACCAACCATCCAACAGAAGGATTACGTCTGCATCTTTTCTAACTCAGTATTTTCTAAAACACTTGTGGAGCATCAAGCAGTTTGCTCAGTTGATTTAATATCTTTTGCCTTTTGGCTGTCAACATCATAACCAGCTTTTACATCCATTTTAGAGACCTGCACAAATTAAGAGAGCTGATTAGACATAGGCAAATGCTGCAAATTTCCAATATGTTCATGTCATTTTTCTTGACAAGTAAAGGGTCTATATGACAGCAACCATTGTGAGAAACTAGTTGGAATGAGAAATGCCTGAATCTCCTATTGCCTGCAGGGGAGGAGCTGGCATAAGCAACATTTAGAAGTTCCTTTGCACTGACAGGGATTCCAGTTAGAGTCCTCATCACCTGCTTATCCCACCCAGTGACTGCTTTGGTCATTGGTTATTTGCTTGAGTGAGCTGAAAAGTCAACTCCCCTTCAGCATCTGACAGGAGTTGTGAATGTAACTGGTGAATGGTATACATTCCTCCTTCAAGAGTACTTTTTTTTTTTTTTTTTTAATGGGAGTTTATGCTTTGGCAATCAGCATCTCCCTGGGAAGGGAGTCAAGACTTGGAGACATGTACTTTCATTATGTGGGTAGAAATTGTGTCTCAGCCATATCTAGAGTGGGGGGGAATTGAGGGTCTCTGCTTTTCCTGGGCAACTAGAAAGAAACATGCATGAGTTGCTTCTGTCCTAAGTACCCTTCCAATTAGTTATCAAACATTGCAGCAAACAATTGTGCATATGTAATGAGCTTAACTATTTTTATAGAAAATGAACCATTAGCATTAATGGTAATATGTTGTTCCCTAGCCCTACACATACTTTTCTGCCTGTTACACATAAAATTGATATTTGCTCTAGTGAAGTTGTTTGAACACTAACCCTGTACATGTTAAGAGGCTTAGATTGGTATTCACACTTATTTACCATACAGAGTACATATACCGTAAAGCTTTTGCTCCATATTCTCTACTGTTTCACTGGAATGTTTTAAGAGAATTTCATAAAGAGGAAAATTGAAATGATGTTCATGTGAAAAGCAATGATTCTCCTGTAAGCACTGTAGTTCAAAAGAGAGTAGCAATTAGGATGATCATTTTGTTTAGAGTTTACTAAAATAGAAAGCTATTTTTTTTCACGTATTTTAAATGTCGTTAAAAGAGAAAGTGAGAATAGCAATAGATTTGTATAAATGTCTCAGTAGAGCAATAGAATTTGTCCGATCATCACCTGGTCCTCTGAAGTTAACTGATGGGCTGACTGATCTGTGCACACAATTATGATGCGTTTATGTTAAGGAAATTTTTGTTGACTGTTCAAATGGGAGGAAGTGTCAAAATCATAGGGAGTAAGTTTGGAACTAATCTCACACTGCAAACTTGAGTTAATTCTGTTTCATATACAAATTTGGATAGTTTAATTATAAACATATTTTTATATCTAATATACAATTCTAATATAAAGGTTATAAATAGTTATTTTTGTTAACAAAGACACTAAAACAGTATGTCCTAGTTTTGGCCCTCCTACAGAAAGAAGCATTGGAGAAAGCGTTTAAAACACAACTATATGCTCTTGTATTGCAAACTCCATTAAGAGCAGGACCACTTCGACAGTATTTAATAATTTGCTGTACCTCCCAAAGCAAAGTTCTGTTTTCAGCTTGTCTTAGAAAGTGTTGTCAAAAACAACAGCAAAAAAAGAAAGAAAAAACAAGCAAAAATTATAAAACACTTTATTACTCAAATGCTAAAAATAATCTTATCTTACAAATTTTCTGTAGAACTACAAAGTAAGTATGAAGTACTAGGCTTATTCTTATTTTAGCAATTGTAACCAAAAGTTATTGAATGCATCTGAGAGACATCTTTATAGAAATATATGATTCTATAAAGAATATAAGAAACTATAAGTGGAAATTTTCCAAACAGATATTAGTATTATAGAATCTTTTGAAGCAATTTTCTTGAGAAATAGTAAAATTGGGGGCAGATTGTCTTGCAGTTAATTTCATATTGCCAGAGCAGCATGAGAAATACGGTATTTGGATAGGGGTTTCAGCTAATAAACACCCTCTGTTGTGAGAGGATCTCTTTTTTTCCCGATAATGGAAGGAACAATACTTTAGTGCTGACATCAGTGAGGCACTTTTCTTAGTGTTAGGAGAGGATGCAGTGTGCTGTTGGACCAATATCATATCTTGAGACTTACCAAGTTTTCATTCTCTGTCAATATGACAAGCTGGGAAGTGACAGAATATGTTATAGGTTAAGGCACACTTATTTGCAATTTACTGAAAAGTGGATTTCTTCTGTGACTTTTTTTTTCCCTCCCCAGTGAAAAGCCCAATGCTGTATTTCTGTCTTCACTAATATTTGGAAGTATTTCCTCGCTAACACACTCAGTTCAAGCTGAAAATTGTTCCCTATCCAAAATTTTGTTTTGTGTATCAGAATAAGCATAAAGTGAATTATTCACCTACATTAATATTATGTCTTTGCAGCTTAGGTTTTCTGATGTTTTACAAACAAAATTGCTAACCACAAACACATTGTTTATCATATGTGTGTGTGTGTACACACATATATGCATACACACACACACAGCATAAAGTACACACCAGGGCTAGTTATTTGGATTTCTTGCACAACTATTTAGCTTTTTGTAAGTTCAATGTGTAAATTTTAAAGACATAAATATAGAGAGACCTATGTGTTTGAAATATAAATGATATATATGGATTAGCATGTACCTGTATATTATTAAACATGCAATGAACTGACTGGTAAGTGATGTCTAATCATATGGCTAGCAATGTAATTTATTCAGACTGTATTTTTGTACAGAGCAGCGCACACTAACCTATGCCTTTGTGTCCTCTTTAATGCCTAAAACTGTGCCTAGAAATTTCATCTGTCTTAAATAAAATATACTTCATGCTGTTTATGCTATTAGTTTCTCTACTGCTGTTCTATATTTATTATTTTAAAATATATGACATGTTTACTACTTAAATATGAATTCATGATATCCTGGTTATTTTTTTTTTAACAGTCATCTGAGGGAAACCTGTTTATCACTCCAGTGGTTTTGAGTTTGCAGTTTCACAATCAATTCTTCATTTCATGATTTTTGTAGCTGACATGAAGTTATCTATGTGGAAAAAATAAAAATAAAAGTGGTTTCACTGATGCATCTTGACTTTCTGTCTTCTCTACTGTATAGACCTTCTAAGTTCATGTTTTCAGTTCATTTTCTCCTTTAAAGTGTATGTATTATTTAGAAAATACTGTTCACTGTTGGAGTTTTCAGGTGTAGTTCACCGTACTTTTTTCTCAAGGCAACTTTGGGTGGACTCAGACCTCCTGACTTTTGGTTAATAGCTGAGCAGGCAATTGTCTGCACTACCCAAGGGAACCCTGTTTAATATGACATGCATTTTTTGTTTTAAATAAACACTATCTTTCATTTTG